CTGCAAAACTTGGCTGTAATAAATCCACATGCATTTTCTGGAAGCTGTTACTTAGAAAGGACAAAAATGTCGTGCAATTGGAAAACTGAACAAAGTACACGCATTACATGATAGAAGCATTCAACATACTAGTAGAGGGTTTCAAAAGTATCGCAAAAGTGGGTTTCAGGAAAACTCACATTAAACAAATCTCCCCTTTGCATTCGATTGCATGTTGTCACCACAAAAGCCGGAGTAGACCAACGATCCTCTGAACTTCCAAAAAAGGTAATTTCCGTGTTCTCGTATATGTTAGCAGAGGTTGAAGGACTGTCCATAAATTGAAGGAGGTTGGGAGGAGTCGGAGGCAGTGGAAGGAGTCGTGAGATAGTTGCCATGAGATTGGACTTCCTTTCCATTGATATGGAAGGTCGCTGTACCTTCTCCCAACTCCCGTTTCTGCCCGTCTCGTCACCATCTCCGTCTGGGCCAGTTTCATCCTCCTCTCCCCACAAATTCGACATTGAGATGTCGATGAGTGAACGAGATTTTACCTGCGCCTGAGGGGACCCATTTGGAGGTTCTGTTTCATCGAAACCTCCACCCATTGAATCCACATATTCGCCCAGGCCTAAGGGTCCTGTATAGCCTTGCTTTCTTCCCGCATGGCTGGATAGTTGGTGTAGTGGAGATGATGGGTTTTGATCCAAAGCTACTACTTTTCCCTGAGTAGTCGGTGGAACTGAATCTCGAGTAGTTGAGAGGTTTCTGTACCACTTGATGATTCGCGAAATGGGCATTAGTCCGCCACCTCCACCGGCACCATTAGTGTTACTCTGAGTTCCACCACTCTCCCTTTCAATCAGAGTCAGATTGCTGAGACTTTTGGCGCTCCGAGTAGGCATGTCGATGCGTGACCGTCGCAGGCCGGTGGGAGTCTTTGTGAGCCCTTCATGGACTGATTCAACATTGGTACCCTTAAAGCGGCGTCTCCTGGCCCGATTCTCACGATTTCGCTCGTAATTCCTACCCACGCTTTCTGTTGGCATTCTGCCACCTGACTTTCGATCCCTAAGATAGATGGTCACGGTCGCGTCAAGTGAAATAATGAATAGAGAGAGGAGGGGTGGTGAGCCTGTGTGTGTTAGCCTGCTCTGCTTGAATCATCAACGCTTACATGGTTGAGGTGCGCATTATAGGCGCTAATAGCACGCTTGTGCGTCGATGCCAATCCAGCGGGAGCTGCTATTGGTTGCCAGTGTTCACGCCAGTCTGGGTGCGCGTGTGCAAGTGCAGCGCTCTGATCAGTGCACGTACGAACGCACACGTACTCGCGAATGCGATAATCGATCGCATCCACGTTGTGCTCTGCGTTTAGGCGCACGTGCGCATAATCCATTTGTCCACCAAGCAGCCTCGGTAATTAAATTAATTCAGCAGGGTAGATGACTCATCCTGGTTTACCAATCCCAGGGCTTTTGATGAGTTTGCTAACAGGTAACT